ATTGCCAGCTGTTGATGCTTGCTTCCTTCAGCGAGCTTGGGTCATTTCGACCATTGTATACAGAAAAGAAGCATCTAGCCCTGTATTCACCCCACAATTCGAACCACCATCTGTCAAATAGCCTCTACCGAACAGCCACTACTTTACTAAGGATTTTACACTACAAATCCGGATCAACCATTTTAGAAAAGGTCTTGGGCTTCCAGGGCTTACATTATGGTGAACATCCAATGGCTCCAATGTCGGGCAGACAGGAATAATATGCCGGTGTGGTTCATGTTCATGATGCCTGTTGGCCTGTTGTTCATATGCCGTTCATGCTTGCAGCTGACTAATTCGATGGCTGGCCATATCAGTCCTTCAAGAACGTAGCCGTTTAGAGTAATTCGATGATGTTGGATTTGCACATCTCGTTTTGGTACAACGGTGCCTCGATACATTTTGGGTATGGAAAAATGAAAGGAGCCTCCCGTACCGCCTGGAATGGATAGAATATCGTAAAATACAATATATTACAATAATATATATTAATAGTCATCATCATCATAATAGTAAGTAGTATATTACCTACTGTATTATCCCACGAAAGGGTTGTTTGGAGAAGCATCACCCTCCACACATGCACCATCCTGCACTCGCTAAAGCACCGCAACGCCAGTGCCATGAAGAGTGGCCTCAGCGTCATCCACAACGTGAAGGCCTCACCCGCGGTGCCGGTTCCGCTGTGCCGGTTCCGCCGGTCTGCCGGCAGAGAACACCGTTTGTTTGGCATAGCACCGTTCGTTCTTTTTGGGAGCTGCTATGCCACATCTTGGCCACAACAAACACGTGTCAAATATCTATATCGAATTGTTTGCATGTCTTTTGTACATGTTGGCATTGCATGTTTTGTGACTATTTCCAGCCGGTGTGGGGTGGTGTCCTTTTGTTCGATCTCTTTTTGCGGTCTTTTAGTCAGTTATGTGGTATACTTGCTTCTTGTTTCTGGTCGTTGGTCCAAGAGGTGTTTTGCTTGTTACATCAGTTGGAATGTCCTGCGTCCAGGTGTCTCAGGGACCCGGATGGGGGTGAGATGGGCGCTGGGGGCCCCCCCCATCGGGCGCGACGGGGCGTTTCGTCGTCTTCCACGGTCTTCCGGGTCCTGAAAGGAGGTTCCCTTGGAGGTTCAGAGTGCTGAGACCGAGCGCGGTCCTGGGATCCTTGTTGGTCGAAGCAGAAAAACAGTAGTTGACACTTCCTTCGACTGAGTGGTGCCATGGTTCTCCTGAGCGGCGCCATGCGTCGTGGAGAGAATGGAATCCCTGGATATTGGATATGGGATAGATGGAGCAGCAAACCAACCTGGTAGGTCTTCCCGCATGCGCCACACACCTTCAGCAGGTAGGAACGCGGTTGAAGCCCCTTCACCATCTTCACCATCCCTGCAAAACCACCCCATTTGTTCATTTGAAGCCCAAAATGACTAACACAACGCTCCGGCGATCTCCAAACCCCGCAACACACCCGGAAAGTCGCGTGGCTGATCGAAAAAAACGATTGAGTGGCCCAGACCACCTACTGGTTTGACGTCTTCCAGAACGCCGCGCGGATGAAGAAAGTCACGTTTGGAGGGCCCAGAAAGCGAGGAGTGCGTGCTGTGATCTTGGGATCGGAGATTTGGGTGTCGGCCAAACACCCCAAAACCTCCTCAGGATGCTTGAAATGCTGTGATCCCGATCCGCAACATGATGGGTCTCTAGATGTTTATAATTAGGTTCTAAAAAGATCCAAAAAGGCGACTGATCGGGTGGCGAAGCCTACGGACGAACTGATCGGTTCCATTCGTCCAGAACCACTGGGAACTTCGACTTCAGTCTCTAGAGTGAATGGAATATTTGGACTCACCCGGAGTGAACGGACTGAGTCCGGACCCGACCCAAACCCGGCTCTATGATGCTCTGTTGGTTCGGGCCCGGATTCTTTGGATGGTGCAGCTGGAAGGAAACCAAAGAGAGATGACCTTCGGGTGCGTCTTCATAAACGACGGGTTGTTGTCCAATATTTTCAGAATAGGCTACCTGCCCGCAGTAGTTTGTCAGCATGGCATCAGTGTGAACAAGGTCTAGCTGACTCACACGTTTTGGGCCATTGCAAGAACACTTCGACCAACATTAGAGAGCAACACCACGGGACCCTCTCAACAGAGCCTGTTTGGTGCTGATTTCAGGGCTTTTGAGGCCCACGGCGTTGCTTCACGGCGTTGCTTCCGGTCGCCTCGTGGGCCTCACGGCATCGATCACGTGGCCGTCGACTGCACCACGGGACGTCCACAGAGGTCTCCGACGTTCGTCATCCACGGGACTCAAGACGGAGAGGCCGGAGGGGACGGGTCCGGCACCGGGTCCGCCAAGCGCCGGGGGTATCGAAGCCCGGGGTTTGGAAAGTTCAACATGAAACGAAGAGGGTCACTCACAAACATGTGCAACCACCACACATCATGTAGACTTTTGATCAAGAAGAACCCCCCAAAATGTATTGAGACACCTCTTCATATATCGCATATATGGGAGAGTTTTTTCAAACAATGTGTCTACTAAATGTTGATATTGGTGCCTCATGTGATATATGAGATGATGAAAGTCCCTTTTCGCAGTCAGAAGTGGTGGGCGCCAATTGAGGCTTAGCCGTTTAAAGCGCTTAGCCGTGGCATGGTCGTGGTCGTCGCAGGGGTCGTGGTATGTGACTACGTAGACCTGGCGGATTCGTGACCCCCATATCTTCCGATATCTTCTGAAGCTCAAGATGATTTCAAACTACAATGGAGTATAGGTCTTGTGGCCAACAACCTGAAAGCGGGTGGCACACGTTCCCTTTGCTTGTTCCGTGGTCACAAAGTAATCTGTGCAAATATTGCTTTAATTGAAATCGGATACAAAACGATTGTCAAGTAGAACGGTTGATCAAGCTTGATTGATTTGCAAGTTTTGGCGAAGCAAATCATTTCACCTATAATCTACGTGCAAATAGACATGTGTTTGCACTGTAGAACATTTCTTTAGTTTTAGCTGGTCAGAATATCGGTCAGAAGGGAGCCTGATGAATGTTCAAGTGAGGAAAACACGGAGTTGTTGCTGGATACATCAAGATACATCATGATACATCCGTCTTTGTTGTCACTCAATTGCTTGATACAACATGGCCCGATCTCGTCTGTGGGTGCCACGATGCATCCATCTCGGTGTGACATGGTGTGACGGTTCATCGTCCATCCATCTCCATGTGCTCCGTGACACTCCCTCCATGCAGATACCTTTTGAACATGGCTCGGCCTTGTGGGATGTCACTTGGAGACAAGCGCCGAACCTGGGCATGTCTGGGCTTTTTCAGGGTGGTATGTCCAGGTCGTTCAGCTTCTTCAGAGTGACCGTGGACTGGACTAGACATGTCCGTTTTTCACTCGTTGTTCACTCGTTGTTCACTCCTCAGGTGGTGATGGACCACTGGACACATCGAAGAAGGTTTTGCCGTGAAATCGCTGTGTCGACACACACGCCGTGCGAACGAGAATCCTTGGGGGGACACGTGCCGCGGTCGAGGATTGGTCGGTGGTCGGTTCTTGTGAACGGTTTCGGAACGGTCGGAGGTTGAGGAGGACGTCAAGTTTTGAGCCAAATTGAGGAGGACAACATCCGTCCATGTCCGCTTTTCCAGCTAGCCAACCAGAATCCGGGCCCTTCTCCAATGGAAAGGGGCTCGGGCCCCGGATTCTTAAGGCAGGTAGAATGATTGAGGATCTAGACATCCGGACATGCTTCAGAAAACGTGGCCATTTGTTTTGCAAAGGCAGTTCTGCTATACCCAGAACGATGAGTGAGCAGATGTGATGGAAAAAAACTCCGGAGAAGAGAAACGGCATGCGCAGCGGTGCAGGAAACCACGTTTCTGAAACTACATGCCTGTCAAAAACATTCAAAAACCATCAAAACCACAACAGCATGTAACTTCATGTAGAGACTTGCTGGCTTAGGGGTTGGGTGGATGGACGTGGTTGGGACATGTGGCATTCTTTGCAACAGTACCTAGCTTCGTGTAGACGATTGGCTTGGAGGGGGGGTCAGGTGGTTCTGAAAACCACAGACTTTCCGAATCATTGTTTTTGTTTTCAAGACGTTTCAACTAGTTTCCAAAACATAGGCCGTTTCCCAACCATTTGCAGTTTCACAAGCATCTCTAGTTTCCAAAACGTCGGTTCAGAACCATGGTTTCAGAAACTGTTATTGACCAGGTGAGGTGTGGTGTTCGATTTCGGAAGAAGACCATTCAAGAAAAAGGGCCATGTGTCATGATGGTCACCATGGCCCGATTTAACCATATTTGTCTTACAGTACATGGTGAGATAACATGCCTTCGCCCTCCATTCATCTCTATATTCAAAAATCTGTCAAAGTGTCCGCCATTCTCCCATGTCCTACCCACGTGTTGGAGCAAAAACCGCCAAAACGCCAGTCCCTTTTGGTCAGGCACGTCACCTTTTGATGAGACAATGCCAATGCACCTGTCTACATTTGATGTTTGGCAACGTTTCACAAGATCATGTGTTTTCGTCAACCAAAAGGCGCTAACGTTGGATGGTTTGGAAGACGATGGCATGCATGTTTTGACCAACCTTGCACCCTTCAACAACGGACTTTTGGATGGCGGAGAGAGAAGCTAGCTCCAAGCTGGCACATGCGGAAAGGGAATGCATGGCATTGTGTGGCAATGCCATAGAAGTTTGGTAGAAATACCACATTCGCCTTGCTCCCTGCATGTGGTTTTCTCCCCGGGTTCTCCCCGACTTCTGCCGACCTTGGTTGAGGCCTTACCGAAAGAGTTGGCCTACGAGCCGTGGTGGGTCATGGAGGCTGGGCACAACGACATCGAGATGAATCACAGGCGGGCGGGTCGCGTGGGATGGTCGTGGGTGTTCGGTGGAGGAAATCGGACACGCAAACGGGGGGGAGGAAGGGAGGGAGGTTCGAAGGGATAGGTGGTTGGAAGTGGAAGCAAGATAAAGGATAAATGGAAGGAGAAGGATTAGGGATGAGGGAACATGTAGGCTTTCTGGAGCATTGTCAGCATTGTTCACACCTTCAAGGCATTGAGAGAATCGGAGTGAATGCCCCAGGGCTTGGAGCAAGGGTAGACTGAGGAGTCCAGAAGGCTGCCACTTTTGATGGTGAAGCAAAGTGAAGGGGTCTACAGTTGGACTTCTTGGAGGTCGAAACACCACCCATCTCGAACTCTTGTGATGTTGTTGTCTTCCAGCATGTTGAGTATATACACATATAGGTATACTTATATATATAGGTGTAGAAAGGTACAATGCTTTTGTATTTGGCATGCATATTGCAGGGGGTTGAGGTTTCATAGCAAAGCTGTTTGCTCAAAAGATGTTGAATTCTTGAGCAATCATGAAGGGTAAAGACATCGCGCTCAGCAGTCGCTCCGCCTTCCCGGAGTTGTCCTCGGTCTTTCTCAACCGATCGCCACGCTGTCCTGCTCAAGTTCCACCTAGAAAGCGCAGGATTCGTGGAGAAAAGAGGGCGAGAGTATCTGTCCGCGCATCTGCGTGGAGAGCAGAACCGGCCCTTCCACCCAGCATCAAGTGGAGACAGACAAGTTTGGACCCATGTTTCACAGTGTTTCACTTAGACCCACTTATTCACCACAGGACTTGTATGCTTTCAAGTGACCTGTTTGGGGTTCCCGCGTGTTGGTCCGGACCGCGTCGTGCACGGCGACACAACGGCCAGCGGCGGACGCGGGGTCGCCCCGGGTGGGTGGTGCGGCCGTGGCGTCCATGATTCCTGCGCCCATGAAACCGACGCCAGCGCCGACGGGCCGCTCCACCTTGGGACCTGCGAGGCTGGTTCCTTCTCCCGCAGCTGGGCAGTGAAGGTGACGAGGTCGACCTCAAGAGGTCGACCTTGAGGTCGACCTGATGAACTTGGGGTGACCGACCGGGCCGAAGGGGGATCCCTATGAGTAATCCTTTTCTATGTTCTGTTTCGCAGCGGCTTGTGACCCGAGTCTAGGAATTCAGAGACCACCTCTCTTAATAACCCCTCCACTCCCGACTTCAAAGGGGGTTCATCCTTGAGGGGTTTTGCTCCTCCCCCATAGAAGCTCCCAAATCCGAACCTCCCCCACCAAAAAAAGCACAATCTCCCCAAACACATCGCAACATCATTGCAACATCCTACCCGACATGGTGTTGTTTTCCATCTAGAGACCCACCGTATCTGACCGTGATCGGACTTCAGGTCACCTCTCCTTTGAGACCTGTCGCCTATTTGCCATCTCCGGAACACCGCTCTCTCAGCCCGGACGTCTTCGCTCGCCTGGGCCCCACCGTCTCGCCCGTGCGGCCCTCGAGTCCGGGCGCGGTGTATCGGCCGGTGAGCCCACATGGACATGGGCAACACGGAGCGGCCGTGAGATGCTTGGTATAGAGGGGTTAGGAAGTGGCTTAGGATTGGCATCCATCTTCGGGGGAAAATAGGTGGGAGGATGTGGAGTGAAATGGTGTACAGCAAGGTTGACTGTTGATGGAACACATGTATTAAGGGTCCTCCGGATCGGAAGTGTTTTTTACTGTACGGAGAGGTTTTCGTCAAACAGCCATGGGGGAAAAGGGCGCGAAGCACCGCGTGGCATGACGGTGACCATGGCGACCAGGGCGACCAGGGCGGCACTCATGGCGTCCCACGACGGTGGTTCGGGGACCCCGGACACCGTGTGACCGCGTGTACCCGAAAACGGTTTGGTTGGTTTCTTCCAGGAGTTACAGGGGGTCCGGGGGTGGAAGACGCGGAACCGTCCCATCCAGCGGATGTGGTCCCAGTGGATGTGACGGACAGGGGATGTGTCCCTGTTCTTCCTCCGTTCGGAACCGGCACGTATATGTATGTTTCAGTGAGCATGGATCCGATCAACTGGAGGGTGGGTGGCCAATGACTGAATTAGGGAAAAGGATCTACAGACGACGATGTTTCTTGTATCAATAGAAGCTAATCCACGGAATCCATGGAATTGTGTCTCCCAGGGCTTTGGGGGTATTGATTCCTCCTTGCCGCAAGACTCCTGACCTGGTTTGTAAAGAGGAGTCTAGGCTTCCGCCATAGTCTACTTCTGTAGCGAGTGGAGCCTAGGATTGTGGGAACCAATGGGATTAAATAGTGTAGGCAAAAGCGAACTTCAGGCCCCAAACGTGTTCATCCTGGAGTAGAATGATGTTCCATGAAGAATCCTCATTGCTACAGCCCACTTCTAGTAACTAGGTGACTAGATGTAACTAGAAGCTACTAGGTCCGTGGAGGACATCGCTATTAGGTTGGAGACCATCGCTACGAACGTAACAATAAAGCGGTAGCTTGAAGCTTCTAGTATGACTGCAAGCTCAGCTTGATGGGAAAAAAGAAAAATGACTGCAACGTCTTTCATCGAGTCCGAGACCGCCTGCTCAGGAGGCTTGCTGCACTCGCACGATCGCGATCGTTCCTCCAGTCCAGATGCTCGACTGCCAACGCCCTTAGTGCCTTGGATGGACAACCGAGTGGAACTCCGAGGGTTTGGATGACGAGTGGATGTCAAGAGTGAGTGGATGCCCTGACCGCCATGACCGCCAGTCATCGACCTGGCCGGTGAGGGGAGGGGACTTCTGACACCCCAACTAACTACTCCGCCGGACTTTCTGATTTGGTCGTTTGCTCGGTGACTCAAAGCTCAGGTGGTTGGATTCGCCGCAGGCCATGGTGAAAATGCACGAATGCCGCACGAATGCCGCAGAAGTCTTCACATCAGGTTTTGTTCAGCTTCTGAAGCTTCTAACAGTTTGACATATCACGGCAACCTCATCACGTAACGGTCCGCCTCATCACGCCTTCCGCACCTCCCGGTCCGATCAAAGATGGCCACGAATCCGACGATCTCAGTGACTTCCGCCCTCCCCAGCGAGTCCAGAAATCCGCAGAAAGAAATATGAAGCTATTTCGCAGATCCAGGGTTTTTCACATGGGTGATTAACATATATCTATGTAAACATAATATAGGGCAAACATATATGTAAACATCTTTCGTTTTTTCACATCCAGGTAGTGGTTGTTGTCCAGGTCACTCCCTGGATTCATCATGGAAGTAGAACATAGCTGCTTGGATGACCATGTTCCTTTACAATAGGTGGTTTGCCACTGAGGATTCCAAGGAGTGCAGAGAGCCACTCCCAGCGCCTTTTTCTCCCGTCCCAATCAGCCAATCAGACTTGCATGATGGTTCCGAAACCCACTGTAAAAATGATTCTTGCAAAAGACTTGAGAGTGGAAAAAACTAGCACTAGATCGATGGATATTTGGTGGTGGAGTGGTGTTGAAGCTTTGCACATCTTTGCACCTTTTCTCTATTTTTCTCATCTCATCTCACTCATCTCGTCCCAAGGTGCCGCCCTTTGCGCTGCAGGGCCGGATCTCGCGACCGGCCCCGGCGGCGGGCGCCGGCCTCCACCTCGCGGGCCCGGGGCCGCAGGGCCCGCAGGGCCCGCAGGGCCGGCCGTTGACGCCAGATAGTCGGGAGCTGCTGAAGCGAGCGCAGCTCCCAAGCTCCAATCACAGGCGAATCCGATGGATCGTGGATGGGGCGGATGGGGCGGGATCTAGGTATTTGGAGAGAAGTTCCAGAGTTGGGACGAGCAAGATGTAGAATCTGAGTGTGGATGTATGTTGATTGATATACAGGATCTATTTAGAGGAGTTCTGCACGCTCCGAATGCTTGGGACTTCTCATGAAGACAGACAGCACCTCTTGGGTGATGATGACCAGCTGGGTTCAGACTTCTTATGTATCGGATCATGTTCTTCGAAGCGTTCACATGTTGACTAGCCGCCCCGCTTCAGACCGATAGAGCCAAGCATAATCCTGCAGCTGGTAGGATTCCGGGCCACTGTTGAAAGAATTCCAACCTGGATGCTGTGAAGCGATAAGAATTCTACGGGGATGCTGCTTTTTGGCCATGCACCAGTCCCGCTGGAGTTCCCTCAATGTTAGCGACTCCTCTTTGTAGCTCAGGAGCTTTTGATAATCTGTGTACATGTAGTAGATATCTATTTTTAGTCAAACTGGTGAGCACCTGACCAAATTCTCGTAAGTTTAATGTAAGTATTGAAGCTTTATTAGGGTAGAACATGGGAAGGCTGCCTTGGTTTTTACCAACACGTTCCAATCAGGCTGCATGTGTTGCTCTCTTTCCCGGTCTGATGCTTTTCATATACCTCCAGCACTCTGGACATCTTCTGCATCTGCCAGGATACCACGCGAGCCCAGTCACCCCACGCTCCGCAGTCGAAGCAGCTCGGAGCGGCCCCTGGTGCTGGAGGCCGTAACGCCCATCTACACTGGCCGCGGTGCGCCAGGCAGGAAAACACTGAGCGAACTGAACCCAAAAAGGCACCATGAAGGGCTTTCCCGGACAAGTCTGAGGTGTTTTCTTTGGTGGTTGGGTTTTTAACCAGGTTCTGGAGGGGTAAAACATGGTAAAACCCGGCAACTGAGTGTAAGAGGGAAGAGAATTGGACGATTCGATGAGATGTTTTTTTTCTTGGTCCATCTGATTCAGAGGGTTGACACACGGTGAGCTTTTGGCGCACCTGATGCTTGGACAAAAATGCAGAAATCTCGACTGGACTGAGCATGACTGAGGTACGACTGGCTATGACACCAGATCTCGAACCATCACGCGCTCAGCCAGCCCGATGGTGGCAATGCCTTTGGACTATAGTCGCAGCAGAGCCTCAGCCGAGGGGGCGTCCACGTTAAACACCTTGTTTGTGCTTAAGTTGGATGAGAAGGGCAATTGACGTAGTACCCTCCAACTGCAGCTGATGTGAGACGCACCAGTTTGA